TGTGCGTAAGTTCAGACCCAAGCAACACCTGCTGTACAGCAGCTGGGGCGAGTCCTCCACCGCGCGGTGTCCCGCGCTGAGTGGAAGGCGTGCTGATGAGCGTGGGAAGCATTTCTGCCACCTGACACCAATGACCAACATAGAACATACGTTGAAGCTTTCCAAAGGGAAATATTCTTGTAGTCAACGGCTTTTGTTTTGTACCAAACTGAACACCTGGCAGATCCTCTAGCTTATAATTTAATAGAACCAAACATACCAAAATTTACAAAAAGAAAATACTAAAATGCAAGAATATCTAGAAAATTAGATGTTATCATTAAAAAAGGACTTTCTAGGGTTTTCTTCAGGTTTCCTTTGAATGTTAGTCACACTAGTACATTGGTGCTCTAATGTTCTCATTTAAATGTTAAAAATTGTGAACTATAAAAAAAAATTCTGGGCATAGAAATCTAAGTGAAATCTCCAAAAACCAAACCAATTTTAAAGTAACTATAGAAATTGATGGTAAAGTTATTTATCTTCTAGGCAGTTTTAAGAATTATAAAATATTGCATAAAAGCAAACACAGCTGTTTAAGTATAATAATTCACAAACCAATTCTGTTCACATAATTTCTTAAAGTGTTCAAATTTGAGAACATCAACTCACATGCCTGATGAGGCCATGCAAGAATACATGAAAATCAAGCAGGAAGCAGCCTTACAAGTAGCCAGTTCTGACTTACGAATTTCACCATCATCTACAGCAGTGGAACATAACGGGAGATTCTTTGCATATTAATAATTAAATGTATTTGTCAAGAAAAGAGGCTTTAATTTTCTACAAAAGGAATGAGTCCAAGTTAGAGTAATTTTTCCTTGAAAAAAACATTTTGGATATACTGGTAACACAGTAGAGATATGTAACACAAACAAACATTTTTTTTTGGCGTATTTTTTATTTTTGGAACACCGCAGTAACCAAACGTCACATTTACAATGAAGTTTGTAATAGAAATATGCTGTACAAAGTATTATAGAGACACGTTATACAAAAGCAAACGTTGACACAGCGAAGACTGGATGGCCGTCACCTGTGACGTCCCTCCCCTAAACAAGCGACACTGCTGGACTCATGCTGGCTTTTACGAAACCAGCACTGTCCTACTAGCTGTAAGGGAGAGTGTGACGTTCTAAGAATGAATTTCTTTAAACCCAGTGATAATGAGTTATTTGTGTGTATCAAGTAATTTCTCATTTTGAGATGATCAGTTACTAAAATATTCAGAATCTCTAAAAGCTGCTTGGAGGTTCAATCCTCTACGAATGTAGCAATGTGGGTTACCTCATACTCAGCTCAACTCCAGAGCAGGTAGTCATGATTCCCAAACTGACACCCACACACTCAAGTCTGATCATCAGAGAATTCTTTAGCCCACACCACCCTTACAGCACTCAATGCCTACTGCCCGTACAGTCAGGGCTCACCATAGACTTCTGGGAGGATGCACTGAGCATTTGTTTGGCCTCTGCTACTTAAAAATACTGCTGGCCACATTTATAAATAAGTTGTCTCTCAATGATGCATTCATTCACCTTCCATTTTAAAACTATTTGAGCATCATTAATGGGAAGAAGACAGACATCATGTTGTGCTATTCAAATAAAACACCACCATACATTTTCCTAGTAAGCCAATGATGGAACTTGAATGTGTGAACTTGCGATCTGGTCTAATCTACCATGAAACTACCTGAAGCAACCAAGTTAAGATACACATCCCACTGTAAAAAGTTTCCTTTGTCTGCCAAAAAATATAACAATTTAAAACAAATCGTTGCTAAAGTAATGTAAATTTAGAACTGCAAAGTTGAAAACCCCTCTGGTATTCTAGGCATTGTCCACAACACCCATCACCACTCGCCAAGGTCCCCGCACCCTCGTGCAGCCTGTGTTCCCGTGTACACGCCCACCCGTGACTCAGCACAATCCCCGCATGTTGTCTCTAGTCCCCCTCTGCAGGTGGAGAAGCGGAGTTGTGGTGTCACACCGCACCGATTCCTAGGACTCAGTCATCTGCCACAGGGCTGTCTCTATTCTCACAAAAGGGAACACCAGTCCGGCCGCTGTGGCTCGGAGGGTGAGCATCGACCCTGCACCAAGAGGTCGCTGGTTTGATTCCCGGTCAGGACACATGCCCAGGTTGTGGGCCCAATCCCCAGTGAGGGACATGCAGGAGGCAGCCAATTGATGTTCTCGCTCATCAATGTTCCTAGTTCTCTCTCCCTCTCACTTCCTCTCTAAAATCAATAAAGAGAAAAAAAAAAGGGGGGGGGGGTGGACACAACGCACCCAGAGGAATCTGAAAGCACCTCTGTCCTATGGTTGAGAACAGCACAGCCCAACCTGTTGCTGAGCCTTTAGGGCATGCTGACTGCTACCTTTCTCTATATTAGTCTTTTGGATAAATTTTCCCTTCTTTTCATACACATTAAAAAGTCTTTTCAAGATTTCTAATTGAAGGAACATGGAAGGCTTTCCTTCTCTGAATGAAACTGCATGTTGGTTAAAAGTGCTTGTTTTAACAAGTTTTCCTTTTTTTGTTATGTCGAATTTTAACCTTTCCAGATTTGGAAGAATCTTCAATTTCTTTTTAAAAAAAATATTTTTATTGCGTTTCATAGAGAGAGGAAGGGAGAGGGAAAAAGCAGAACCGCTGTGAGAGCTGAGAGCAAACCGCCTCCCGCACGCCCCGCCAGGGACCGGGCCTGAGAGCTGGGCACGCGCCCTGACCAGGAGGCCAGCCAGCAGCCTTTCGGCGCACGGGATGACACCCAACGGGCCGCACTGGCCAGGCCAAGTTCTAAACTGTGTTCTAAAAGTGACAAAGTCGGGGTTGGGGGGGAGGCAAGAAATAAACCACAGAACTTCTATGCATGTCTGTGTCACCAGGGACATAGACGACAATACTGGGGGGGGGGGGGGCGCGGCAGGATTGGGAGGTGGGTGTCAATGGGGGAAAAAGGAGGAACATCTGTAACAAAAATTAATAATTAAAAAAAGGCGACAAGATCATCACAGGTAAATATAAATGGCAGGGCACTGAGAACATCCATCCACCACTCACTCACGTACCGCCCGCTCTCTCACGGAGCCTTGGTTCTACAGAGATCAGGATGCTGGGGGAATGAACAACCAGATGGACATCCAAAGAGGTAACAGTACACGCTAAGAAATTAATTTTTCTAGCAATGCTTAGCTTACAGAACTTTTTTCTTTCAAGCTCGCCAACTTCTGATCTGTGTTCTATTGTTGCACATCCTGAGCGCTGAGGTTAGATCACAAATTTCAGTAGCGATCAGAGAGAAATAGCAGAATCTCCAACCCAAGTGCTGAGTCAGGGACAGGCAGGCTATTTACTCTTCAAGTTGTTTGACAGTGGTGGGTACCAAACCCTTGAAGATGATTAAATCTTCGTATTTATTCAATGAATTTATTAAGCCCAGGAAAAAAGTATGAATGCACACAATTTTGTAAATGTTTCCAGGTGGCCCGACATCCATGGACGCTAGACTAGAAAATTTCACTTCAAACAGAATTCATAATCAGGGGTGTGGGGTGGAAGAAAAGAGTTGATCGGAAAATTCTATCCAACTCAGATTCTGTGGTTCTTGTGAAACCAACTTATTACAAATATGAAAACAAAAGAAAAAACAGATAAAACAAAAACAAAAAACACATAAAACCAGGATCCAAAGATGTTCAAGGTTCTTGGCTGCTGGTCCTTTTCCTCCTACCGGATGATTTCCAGGGCACAGGCCTTTTAAGCAATCGCCTTATTAAACAAATCACTTGCCATCATTATGATGACTCCTGCTAAATTACTTGTGACAAATTATAATCCCAAATCCTCTTTTACTCTCACTGAATCTGTGTACTAAGATAAATAAAAACCAAGTTTATTGTTGGCCTAAACTCGGTCTTGGAGAGGCCAGAAATCAGCTATTTAGAAACAAATCAATTTTTATTACAAATGTAGTACAGGCACAAAGTAAAAATTTCCAACAGTCCTGAAAGGTATAGGTGAAAATTAAAAGTTCTGCATCACAAACCACGTCCCACAATCCTACATCTCAGGGGTAACCACTGTGCTTTTTCCTAGAAAGTCTAAGATTACGAAAGCAAACGTGCATACACACCCCTCTGAAGACACATGGACTCACAAGACTGACACGGTAACAGTAAGGATGAACTGACCACTCACTGGGAGATCAAGTGTGAATGATACTTGGCAATATCACTTCCAGTACAACAATTTATTAATTAAAAGATGGTCAGTATAACAAGGATATGATATATTCATTTATAATTCAAGGAAGCAAGGGTAAGGCCTCTCAAAGTTGTAAACAATCTAAATCACACTCCCTTTAATCACGGTAGTCAAGTTGTAGGTTAAGTACGACAGATAACCTCTAGCGGGAGAAACTGAGGGGGGCCTGTCACTCAGGTAACAAAGCCACTTTACTGCAACGGGTCAAAGATCAATTTCCTTTGCTAGCCCACAAAGAATGCTACCAAAGTCCAGGGGGTTTAGATATATAACAATTGATCCAGTTAGTCCAGACGGGAAAAAAACCCATGTTGTCAAAAATGTCTTCATAAAGCTGGGACACATGGGGTTATGTCAACCTTGGACTTTGTACCAGTTCCTCTCCACAGAGGCGAATCACTTTTGTGCACCAAATTAAGATGTGCAGACCCGAACTTTCATTCAACAAGAACACACATAATGTCATCATGGAGGCTGCCTCTATGGCTACTCTTGGTAAAAACCAAGAGCACATATTTAATTTAAGAGAGAAGATCTTCCTCAAAGAAAATCAACCTCAGAGAACACTTTACCAGAATTGCTAGTTTAAACACACACACACACACCCGCCCCCCGCCACCTCCCGCCGCACACACCATCAACAACTAACTCGGGCAGAGGAATAGAAACTAATAAAACAATGAACTTACCCAGTAGTGAAACAGGCTGGGTTACAGGAGGGGTGGGCAGACTCGTGGGTGCGGCGGGAGGCACGGCAGAGCCATACATTTTCACGCTGTCACCAGCCTCGGCGTTTCCTCTAGCCCCAGACACCACTGTTGGAATGGGATTTCCAATAGATAAGTCTTTTGTAGTGTCTTCATTTATACCAGCGATAGTAGCTAAGGAATATAATCACATCAACATGTGAAGCTGAATAATTAATTATCTCCTGGTCCACATCCTCTTGCCACTCTAGACCCTAGTACTAGTCACCTTCCCTCCACTCCCGACGCCAAGAGGAGAACTGAGCGCAGGGAAAACATGCTTACAGTTTGGGATGCTGATTGGTGGAGTGTGAGGAGGAGGAATAGACACTGGTGGAGTTATAGGAGGTGGGGGTCCAGGAGGAAGAAAGCCTAGAATGAGAAAGACGACATCACTTACGCTGCGTCTATCACTTTATCTCAGATTCAAAACAACGTCTCCTCCAACAATCTGGCGTACCTGGAGGTAAATGCATTGGGTTGAATCCTGGGCGTAGAAATGGTGGAGGAGGAGGGGGAGGAGGAACACCGGGAGCAAAGCCCGGAGGAGGAATTCCCAAAGGCGGCGTGAAGGCGGGCGGCTGGAGAGCGCCCACCACAGGAGGACCAGGCTGGTGTGTTGGGACCTAGGAAGGAAGGAAGGAAATGAGCCACACATCTAGCCACCTCCCACCCACACACTGAGCAGAGACGAAGAAAATATCTTTTTGAATAAACAGATATTTCTAATTTGTTATTAAATGAATACATTAGAAAACAGGTGGTGATCTGTCCCTGCCCCAAACTCTCCTGTCACAGCAATTCCGTATGACGCTGAGATGTGTCCCACCTCCAGGCCGGCATGCCTGAGAAATGTCTCTAAGGAAAGCTACCGCCAAATTCCACAATGATTTGATTCCAGGATCAAACCGCCCGGCCAGATCTGTGACCCTGAGCAAGTGTACCCTCTCTAGACCTTGGTTTATTCATCTATAAAACAGAAAAGTGCCAACCTCACCTAATTATGGTAATTAAAGAATACATGTTCAGCCTAGTACCTGGCACTTACTAAACACCCAAGAAATCAATATTTGCTATTGTTTAATAAAAAGTATAAACAATTTTAACAGATCAGTCAGGTTTCTGAAATGAATGCTCATATACTTGAATCTTATTTAAAACCTACACTAAAGAGCATATCCAGAAGGCCAACTACAGAGGGCAGTTTAGGAAGTCCATTTATAAAATTCACAGCTAAAGGAAGAGGCTAAGCACAAGGAAGCCTGACGGTCTGTGACTTGCCCAAGGTCACCATGCTGAGTGAACAATGGAAATGGGATTCAAACCATGTTCTGCCAGAATCCAGACCCTTTCTTCTGAAGTAAAAGGAGAGTAAAGACTCTTAGACCTTCAGTTAAATGTCACTCAATTTTTTTTTTTTTTTAATTCATGATAGCATCCTCCAAACTGGAGGTTTAGAAACTATCTTTCCCTCAAAACAAGCTACTTGTCAGTTATAAATCCAAGCACCCTCAGAACAAGAGTCTATGAAGAACATAGACTGATAAGATAACAAAGTAAAAGAGCAGAAGAAACTCTAACAGGTCTGCACCTCAAGCCTGAAATGCCGTAATATAAGGTGCTCAGTAATCCAAGCAGATGTGAGGCACTAGGAGTGCGTTCTGGTCTCTTAACACCGTTTAAAATGTGCTCAGCAACTTATAAACAACAGGGTGGGCCTATCAAAATATGACAAATTAATAACGCACATATAAGTACTTGGATCTTTGACTAAATCTAGACATCCTTCTACAGTAAAAGTTGGAAAGGTATGTTTCAGAAACATGAAAGTTCCAATAATATCCCAAATGTCTCACCTGAGGAGGAGGCACTGTCATAGGTGCGGGAACAGGAACAGGAGGGACAGGCACAGGCACAGGCTTCGGGATGGGCGACGCTGGTTCTGTGTGGGAGCTCTCTGCCCCTCCGTTTTGCGCAACCTCATTGTCGTGCTTCTTGGGAATTCCTTTCCACTCTACGGGAGTTAATGAAATTGAACAATAGGCGCTTACCATGTTCAGCTTATAACTGTAAATCCAGAAATGTTTTTTCAAATGTTGATTATATTAAAAAGCAGTAGTCAAAGATTATCAAAGAAATGACTATGCTAATCTTACAAATATTTAAATTAGCAGATATGCAAAAAAACAAGTGCTCACTTGGTGCAGGCACGGGTCTAAACATTTTATATGTACTAAGCAATTTAATTCTCATACTGCCTGTAAGTGGTTCCTGTTATGATTATTCCCGTGTTATGAGGAAAAGAAAGACCATTTGTGCAACGTCACATACCTAGTAAGCAGCAGAAATGTAACTCAACCTAGACACACCTGGCTCTAGTCTCTGTTCTTATTTGGACAAAGGATCGGGGAGGGAGAGGCAGTACTTCCCCTCTGGAGCGAGCCTCCCAGAATGCCTGGCACACAGCAGACCCCAGTCCGTCTGCCTCAACACACACAGCTCTAAGTGAAGGCACCATGCGCATGGAGGGATGAGGGTGTGAGAGCTGTCAGCCCAGCATGGCCCCTCCTCAGGGGGCTCTCAAGCCACAGATCCTGCTGGAAACTGCCCCTACAGTTCCCTCCACAGCCATGCCACCCTGTGCTCCCCCCGTGCCAGGCCCACGCATGCTGCCACTTTCCCCACGGCCACGCCACAGTCAGCCTGGCATCTCTAATATTCCCGACCATAAGTAACTGCACCTCCTTGCCACACGCACTTACTTCCCACTGCTTCTCTGGACATCTAAACATTTTCAAAGAAATTATTACAACGTACTGGATTAAAACACAGTATCAAAGACAATCAGTTAAGATGCGTTGAATCTGTTTACCCCACGACCAGTAGTTATTTAATGTGGATCTGCATCTCTATACTTCATATAAGTTGCAGAACAGCAAAGATCTCATTTGCCTTACTCACCATTGTTTCCTCAGTTTACAATGAAGAGACTGGCATATATCAGATACTTGAAAAATCTCAAAAATCACTTCCTAACGGGAATAAACATCTAGCACATGCACTGTTAAGAAAAGGCATGAGTTTAAAAAGCTCGAAGTGCTGCTGTACCTGGATTGAGCGTATCACTGTCCAACATCCCTCCTTCACAAAAACTTTCCAGTTCTTCAGGCTTGACTTTGTCCCAAGGAATATAAGTAACACCAAGTTCCACATCCCAATACTGCTTATAATCTGCCTTTATTCCTTTGTTTAAGGCCCAGGCAATCTATATCACCGTTAATTAAGATACAAAAGGAAAGGGAGAGAGAATGTCATAAATTTTGCAAGGTCACTGTCGCAGATCGGCAGCAGGGGAGCCCATGGCCTCGCTATCCAGGGGCCTTATTTGTCACTGGGAACTGGTTCCCCGTTCACCTCACTTTGTCCTAGAACAGACATGTGACTGGCAACATCTCGCCCACTCTTCCATCCCCCCGCCCCCCACCCCGGCCAGCACGCCCTCAGAGGAAGAGGGTTGCAGGGCAAGGGCAAACCTCCCCGCAGCCCAGCACACCGGGCCACCTTCCAGAGTCTCGGCACCTTGGAAGTATTCCGCATTAGTCATTCTCAGATGAGGTGACAAACTTTAAATCCAGAATTTTTGAACTAACAAAATATTTTACTAAATGACATTATATTTAAAGCACCAAATAACTAAATACCATGATGACTTGTTCTACCTACATTTTAAAAAATCATCAAAATTCTACCATGAACCCAATATTTAAAATTTAAAATTTAATAGATAACCTTTTTTTTTTAACTCTTCACTCAGGATATTTTTCCATTTATTTTCAGATAGAGCGGGAGAGAGCAGGAGAAAGGGAGGGAGGGAGAAAGGAAGGGGGGGGTATTGATGTGAGAGAGACACAACAATTGGTTGCTTTCCTTACAACCCTGACCAGGGCGGGGGACCAAGCCCCAACCAAGGCACATGCCCTTGACTGGAATTGAACCCAAGACTCTTTGGACTGAGGGCCGATGCTCTAACTCCTGAGCCAAACTGGTCAGGGCTAATCCCTTTTTTTTAAGTTTATTTATTTATTTTTTGGTTAATCCTCAGGATATTTTTTTTTTTTTTTTAAGTTTTCATTGATTTTTTTAGAGAGAAGGGAGAGAGGAACATCAATGAGAGAAACGTGGATCAGCTGCCTCCTGCACACCCCCTACTGGGGATCGAGCCACAACCCAGGCCTGTGCCCTCACCAGTATCGAACGGGACCTCTCAGTCCATGGACACGCTCAATCCACTGAGCCACATGGCCAGGCCCGCTGATTTTGTTTTTTAGATAGAGTGGAAGGGAGGAAGGGAGGGAGGGGTAGAAAAAGAGAGAGAGAGAAATTGATGTGAGACACATTGACTGGTAGCCTCCCACATGACCCTAACCAGGGGCCGGGGATCGAACTTGTAACCCAGGTATGTGCCCTTGAATGGAACTGAACCCAAGACCCTTTCGTTCGATGGGCTGACGCTCTAACCGCTGAGCAAAAAACAGCCAGGGCAGTAGATAACCTCTTTTTTAAAAGATGCATATGAAATCTTCTGTCCAAAATTACAGTTAACAAAAGAATTCTAATATCTAAAACTGTACCTTTATAGATTTCTGGTTCACTTTATAGTTTCCGCGGCTCAGCTTCTGCAGGGCACGGTAAGCGTCTTGCCTATGAACCATAACGATATAGGCACAGCCTCTGGGAGGAATCATCTGCTCCGACACATTTCAATGTCACAAAACACGATCACAAAATTAAAGAGCAGTAAGATGTAACACTAAATAACAACAACCCCAACTATAACCCATCTCCCCCATCAAGCCAGTGTTCCATTACCTGAGATTAAGTAACTTGTAAACTGGCAATCTGAATTTGGTCTCAACTGCCTGTTATTAACGCGCCCACTGTCCCCTAAGCTTTATTACATAATAAAGACTTCTCTAGAAAAAAGTTTTAATTAAACTTGATTATCAAAGACATGTGGTTAAAATGCAGAGAATGCTAAATAAACACAGACTCAGAACATCTAACCTCTAGCCACATTGTCTATAAAACCTGGGCAAGTTTTAACTTAGGCCCCAATCCTTAATTTTTTAAAATGACAATCACATCTGCTCACTGTCACAAAGTAATTTTTTTTTAATCCTCACCCGAGGACATTTTTCCATTTTTTGTTCAGACAGAGTGGGGGGAGAGAGAGAAAGAGAGAGAGAGAAACATCAGTGTGAAATATCGAGTGGCTGCGTCCCGCACGACCCAACCAGGGCCGGGGACAAACTGCAACCGAGGTACATGCCCTTAGAGGGAACCGAACCTGGGTCTCTCAGGACCGCAGACCGACGCTCTAACCGCTGAGCCAAACCGGCCAGGGCAAGTCACAAAGTAATTTAATACACACTCACATTAATGGATTCAATCGGGCCAAACTCTTCTAAGAGACTGGCAACATCCTGCTGCGTAGTTCTTTTGTCCAGCTGTCCCACCCAGAGTGTAGTGCTACAAACTGAAAATAAAATCATCATCGTAAACACTCCCATTTGATAATGAACCACACTGTACCTGACATGAGCAATCATCACAGAACCATGCCTGCGCCACATCATGACGCTCAAGTCTGAGCAGCAAACCCCACAGACACTTAGAAATTCTGGAAAACTGTGGTACTGCTTCCAGAACTGAAACCAGGACAACGGACACACGCAGCTGGAAAGCCTGCCTTGTGCACACACCCAGACTGGGTCCTAACGCTGGCCACCAGCTGTGGTTCTGTTCCCCAGGCGCAGGCACACCCCCACCTGCCGAGCGCATGGGGGGTGTCTCTTACACTGCGCCCTAGGTAATAAGCTTTAGAGTCAGAGGTTTTACACATGCTCTAGTCACATAGATTAAAATTTCAATAATAGCCATGGACCTACAGCACACCCTACTAAACATATTTTAAACACATAATGAGATCCAGAAAAATAATGCAAAGTAATACAGTCTGTAAACTGGAAATCTTTATAAAAGGAAGAGGATGTTAGTTATTCTGGAAGCAAGCTAGACCTCCCATTTTCCACACCCACTCCTATTGCTGCTTTACAGCCGACTTAACGTACAAAAGCAAACCCAAGAACATACACTCAATAATGAGACACGATAAAACAGTATTTTGTTAGTAGTTAGAAAACATTGAAAACCCATGACATGAAAAATTAACGGAGGAAGTTTGAACATGAAGGTTAATTTACCACTCGCGGTTTCTGATTTGACTGGAGGAAGGCCTTTCTGCCGGCGCTCTCTTTCCTTTTCTCGGTCCCGTCTTTCTTGGGATCGAGATCTAGGAGAATGCCGGCGTCGATCTCTCGACCGAGACCTAGAACGTCGATGACGAGACCTTCGAGATCTAGAACCAGATCGAGATCGCCTCCTTTTTGGTGACCTATTATTTTCAGGAGGGAGAATGGATAACACATGAAGAAGAAATTTAAGAAATGTAAGCATGTATTAATCTGACAAAGAAATAAATACAGGGAGGTAACTTAATACTGACTATGTAAGAGGCGAGAGCAGGGCAACCTCACACTGCACATGAGATGGGGAGGTTGACAGCGGAGGCTCGTGCCCCGTCCTCGGCGCCTCTAGCGCTGTGCCAACAGCAGGGCAACCTCACACTGCACAGAGATGGGGAGGTGGACAGCGGAGGCTCGTGCCCGTCCTCGGCGCCTCTAGCGCTGTGCCAACAGCAGGGCAACCTCACACTGCACATGAGATGGGGAGGTGGACAGCGGAGGCTCGTGCCCCGTCCTCGGCGCCTCTAGCGCTGTGCCAACAGCAGGTTTGCAGGGCAGGTGCAGTGTCGTCACTGCACCTGCTCCACAGCTGTGACCTCTCTTCTAGTCCAGCCTTCTTTTTTGCAACATTTAAAAACGTAATCTGATGACAGTATTATTTATTACATTTCCAATCTGTTGGCTGATAAACGGAAAAGACCGTGACAGTGTAGTAAGAATTCCATGCACACGATCTGTACGCAGCATTAGAACAACTCCAAGGGAATACGTGTGGGTAGGATAGACTGACTTTAGAATCTTTCTGTAGTGCTTCTGTCCCCACTCACACAGAGACAAACAAACCACGTGTTATTTTATTCACCCACCATGGAACCAAACTTGATTTTAATCTCTATGCCTCCTAAGACATACAAGATCGAAAAACCATTTTCTATGAATTACCTGGACGCTGACCTAGATCTTGATTTTCTGTTATCAGACATATGCCGCTTAACCTCTTGAACACAAGACTGTTCGACTTTCATTTCCTTTAAAAACAAATAGTCATCATCAAATGAGAAAAGTAAAAATTATAAATAAGGCAAGAGGACAAAACCTAAAAACATTCAATTACAAATCTCCTGTCCTGAAGCAGTTCTCTTTTGGTCACTTGAGACCAAATTACTAGTTTAATAACCACTGGTCTTAAGTGGGCAAAACAATTTTATGGTTTACAAGACTATAAGAAATACTCTACTTTTGGAAACTACTTCATATAGCTTACATATATATGCATATAATTTTTTAAAAAATATTTTTTCTTTAGCCTGGCCAATGTGGCTCACTGGTTGAGTGTCGACCTATGGACCAAGAGATTACCGGTTCAATTCTCAGTCAGGGCACATGCCCAGGTTTCGGATTCGGTCCCCATTGGGGGTGTGCAGGAGGCAGCCGATTGACGTGTCTCTCTCATCGATTCTTTCTCTCTCCTTTCCTCTCTCTCTAAAAATAAATAAAAACATATTTAAAAACATAAAATAAATATTTTTTCTTTATTGATTTGAGAAAGGGAGGGAGAAAGAGATACGAACATCAATAAGAGAGAACGCCTTCTGCACGCCCCCCACTGGGAATCAGGCCCACAACTGGGCACGTGCCCTGACCGAGAATCAAACTGGCAACCTCTTGGTGCAGGGTTGATGCTCAACCACTGAGCCACACTGGTCAGGTGCATACCATTTTAATAAATCATAACTAGGCACTGGTTAAGCATTCTATACTCTATCTCAATCCTCAAAACTTAATTAAAATTGGTAGCATTATTATGTCCATTTACAGGTGAAAATCTTGGGGCACAGATGGGGTTACCAAGTGCCCAAGGGAAGGGTCTGTCTTCAAGTCAAGTGCAGATGACAAGCTCACAGGCAGGAACCTGCACCTACGTCCAGGAGACCAACAGCTGATTGACAACCAGGAACGAGGTCTCACCTGATGCGCCTTCTGTGATGGAGGGTCACCTGGGGCCTGGAAAGGGGCCTGGAATGGTTGCTGGGCGGGGGCAGCCGGAGGAACCCCAGCCTGAGCCAGGGATGGAAACGCAGGTGTGGGAAGAAGGCCAAATCCTGGCATCTGTCCATTAGGAGGAAGTGGAACCTTAGTTTTTAAAGGAAAGGTATGAGTAGATTTTGAGTAATAGATACCAAAAATAATTTAAAAATCAAACAAACAAAACACCCTACTTTAATATAAAACTAAAATACCTTCAATAAATTTTTATCAAGGAAAAACTACAATGACATGCAACAATTAACAGTTTCCAGATACTTACTCAAAGAATTGTTACATATCCAAGTATAGGTTAAAAATCCTATGACTCATTTTGAAATTATGAACACATAGGTTTGGGTTATATATTTAAAGGCATAATTTCATTTATGTGCGGAAACTTCGCAAGAGACTGAACTTAAAGTCAGAGGTACTATGACTTTTGGGAGAAAGTGGCTAAAGTATTGACCTCTAGGTTCGTTCTTTAAAAAATTTACTCTTGCCCTGGCCGGTTTGGCTAAGCAGTTAGAGCGTTGGCCTGTGGACCAGAGAGACCTGGGTTCGGCTCCTGCTACGGGCATGTACCAAAAAAAAAAAAATTTACTCTCAGGAGACTTTCAACCAACAACAAGAATAAACCACGTGCCATTACAATGTCAATATAATTAAAAGTATAATTATAACGTCACAAAAGAAGTACTCTTTCTCTATTTATAAACTTTCAGTAACTGTTGAACATTTGGAAATAACTTCAAAGGTTTTCTTCATATTTTAAACAGGCTTATAAAATACTTTTAAAATTTCATTCATCAGCAAGTCATTAAAATCACAGTACCCATTTCATGTTACCAAATGTATGAAATGGACTGAAAAGGACATAAGAATATGAATGGAGTCCAAACAGATCCCTTAGAGCTCTTTCTACACCGAGGCCATCAAGGGCTACTTCCCAAGACTAACTGTACAGCACGATCACTGCACAACTGAAAATGTGTCTAGACTCAGTGTTTAAACTCACTGCAGCATCACAGGGCCAACATTGGAGTTTTTAAATGCCCCTCCCTGCCCCCATTAACTCAGGTGCACAGTCAAGCTTAGGAAACTCTGAATTAGAGGATTTGCTGAAATGAATCCCATGACTAAATCTCTACTAACTTCCTCCCTGTTGAGAGCTGAAAATCCTCTAAAATATGCACCAAAGAGGATCCTTGTAAGGGGAAGAGCTCTATAGTAACTAAAGAGGCAAGTTCCCTGAAACAGAGCCATGTTCTCTCTCTCAAATACTTATTATTAGATTATAAGCACATAATATGTAGCGTCCTGGTTTTAATGAAAGCGAAAAGCAACTCAAACCAGTTACGTGCTCGACAGCCTTACTGCAGCCATGGCACTACCGATCCAACCACGAGGCTGAAGAGTGGTCTGTAAGTGCAACCCCTATGCTCGAATGAATGTCTTCAGGTATGAAGACTCAGCTGCCGGGAAAACGCCTCTACCTGATGGTGCACTGGATCCTGTTGCATCGCCATCATCGGAGGTTGGAACGGATCCATATTTTGATGTTGGGTATATGCCGGTTGCTGCATGCCATCTCCAGGAAATCCACTGAAAAGTATGAGTAACCCTTTTACCCAGTCAAAACCACATGAGATTCTCAGCCACATTTACATAGAAGCATGAAGAATGCTGTCCTGTAACCATTAACAATCAACTGAATCATCTACTGAATCCACTTGCCTATGTATTAACTGATACACTGAGCACTATTCCTAACATAAAAGCCATTTTTAAATCCTAAATCTTACAGGTTCTCCTCCCCATTCGGGAGAAAACACAAGATATCAGTATGTAAAAAGAGAGTGACTGTACATGGAAACAACCTTCCGCTCAACGCCCCTGTGCGGTGCCTCGCAAGGAAACCCACTCCACACACTGAGGGCGGACACCTACAAGGGGGCCTGCGGAGGAGACGCGGCGGGGACTGCAGCGGAGGGCGGGGCGGCGGCAGGGGGGGCGGCGGCAGAGGCTGTGCTGGCAGCAGCGTCTTCTTTCTTAGAGTCTTCCACAGCTTCTGGTTCGTCGTCGTAATCAAATCGATCGAGCAGCTTCTGCAACAGGCATGCCGGTATTCCATTTAAAATTCTGACTGCGTTCAGTACACAAAAACTTTATAAAACCAACAGATTTTCTCACCATCTCTAATCCCACCATGCTGTCGTGGACAATCTCATTTTCCCACCTGCCCCTAGGACCTTGGTTCATAGACAAACGGTTTTTACACAAATGCCATTTGAGAAAGACAGTTTTTGTCCTGCTTTTCTCCTCCAATTATAAACGCGTGTTTTCTTTCTGACCATGGTCTGTACACTTGCTCTGTTCTTAGTTTACCATGTGAGTCTTTCACTGAAATAGTCCTATTCCTAGACTAACAATGTTTGGAACTCTGCATACTTGACAATGGTGCACATTTTCAGTAGCTTGGAAAAGTACAAGTGCAAGACCGTCTTATCCAATCGCTATAAATGCTCACAGAAAAACACCGTTGTTGCCTGCCGAAGAATATGTTAACATGAAAAAACAAAAGCGAAGGGCACAGATGGGGCTATATAAAGAAAGCTCACCTCATATAACCAGAGAGAGAAAGAGAGAAAGAGAGAAGAAAGAGAAGAAAAGGGAAGGAAGGGAAAGAAAAAAGGAAGGAAGGAAGGAAGGAAGGAAGGAAGGAAGGAAGGAAGGAAGGAAGGAAGGAAGGAAGGAAGGGAGGGAAGGGAGGGAAGGGAGGGAGGGAGGGAGGGAGGGAGGAAGGAGCGAGCGAGCGAGCCTGGCTGGCATGGCTCAGTGGATTGAGCATCGTCCTCTGTCTGAGATCAGGTCCTGTTTGATTCCAGATGAAGGCACGTGCCTGGGTTTCGGGCTCAATCCCCAGTAGGGGGCATACAGGAGGCATATCTGTCTCTCACATGGATGTTTCTCTCTCCTCCTCTCTCTCTCAAAAACAAAAATTAATAAAAACATATGGAAAGAAAAAAAGAACAAGGGCATTTCACAAAATCACGTGTCTAGAAGTGCCATTGAAATTCTGATTACATTTATTCAGAAAGGAAGGTAGGCAGCACAATGTACTCCTGCTATTGTGTGTGTGTGTGTGTTTTTTAATCCTCACCCGAGGACATTTTTGCATTTATCTTCAGATAGAGTGGGAGGGAGAGAGGGGAAGGAAGAGAGAGAGCGAGAGAGAAACATCGGCAGACATGAGACACACGGAGTGGCTGCCACCCACACGACCCCAACCAGGGCCGGGAACAAACTGCAACCAAGGTACGTGCCCTTAGCGGGAACCAAACCCAGGACTCTCCAGTCCGCAGGCTCTAACCGCTGAGCCAAACTGGCCAGGGTTGCTATTGTGTTTTGGTAGATCACACACAATACTTCACCATCACAAAAAGCAAATAACGTAGACAGATTTTCTTGTTTTTACAAACAAGGAAACGAAAGCTCAGGGCATTTAGAAATATAACCGAGATGGTATGGTCAGTGAGTGGTAGACTCAGGTTGTGGACACTGGTCTTTTCAACCTCAAAGACCCAGACTCTGGATGCAATGAGCAATCTCCTCTCTTAAGCTGTATCCACTCTCCTCATAAATTTCCAACCTCAGATTCCTGTGACAGTTCTGCTAAACCTTAACTGAACAGCAGAATTCTAAATTAGGAAGGGACAACACGTGTTCCCTTCTTTGTAATTCTAGGCTATGTAAATAAAAGTTCTTATTGTAACTGAGTGAATCAGTATGGCCCAGGCACCTTGCTCTCTTACACACATCAGCTCATCTAACCCTCACGGAATACAGTATGGGTGCCACTCTCACCACTCACAGCAGTGCACACTGAACACTTGAGTAACAACATTAAAGTGAAGCCACATTAAAAAAACTGGGCCTACATAGTCTACAAAAAACAAAACGTATGATCACTGATAAATATGTTCCTTAAAGTTTTAAGACTTATACCCATTGCTTTGGGAAAAGATTTGAAGCAATTAAAAAATTAAACTGTGGTCTGGCCCGTTTGACTCAGCTGCTAAAGCATTGGCCCGTGGACCAAAGAGGAGAGGGTTCGATTCCCAGTCAGGACGCATGCCAGGTTTGCGGGCTAATCTGATCTTTAGTAAGGTGCGTGCAGGAGGCAGCTGATCAACGTTTCTCTATCGATATTTCTACCTCTCTCTCCCTCTCCTTCCTCTTCCTCTTTAAAATCAATTAAAAAATATTTTTAAAAAATCAATAAAAATGAATACATAAATCACCAAGATACAATGACAACCACCAGTGTTTAGCACATGGAGTCTGTTCTTTAAATTAATTTATTTTTTATTGTTGAAAAGTATTACAGATGTAGCCCCTCCTCCCTGCTCCCACCCCCCTCCTGCTTTCCTCAACCTGATGTCTGTGTCCATTGGTTGTGCATATACGCATACAAGTTCTTTGGTGCATTTCTTCCTACCCTCATCCCTCTGAGGTTTGTCAGTCTGTTCCCTACTTCCATGATTTTGGATCTATCTTGATTGTCAGCTTATTTTGTTCACTATATTCCATAAATAAGTGAGCATGTGGTACTTGTCTTTCTCTGACTGGCTTATTTCGAGCAGCCTAGTGCTCTCCAGGTCCCTCCACGTGTCTCAAAGGATAAGAGATCTTTCTTTCTCACAGCTGCATAGAATTCCATTGTGTAAATAATGTACCACAGCCTTTTTTTTTTTTAACTACTCACCCGAGAATATTTCTCTGTTGCTCTTTAGATTGGAAGGGCGAGAGACATACACATCAATTGGTTGCCTCCTGCACAACCCCCGCCAAGGATCAAACCCAGGTACATGCCCTTGACCAGGATTCGAACCTGAGACCCTTCAGTCTAAGGACTGACACTTTAACCGCTGAGCCAAACCGGCCACAGCTGTACCACAGCTTTTTTATCCACTCATCTACTGATGGGCATTTGGGCTGTTTCTAAATCTTAGCTTTTGTAAATAGCACTGCTATAAACATAGGGGTACATATATTCTCCCTGATTGGTGTTTCAGGCTTCTTAGAATATATTCCGAGAAGTGGGATCACTGGGTTAAATGGCAGTTCCATTTTTAATTTTTTGAGGAAAACACCATATTGTTTCCATAGTGGCTGCATCAGTCTGCATTCCCACCAGCAGTGTACTAGATAAAGCCCCTTTTCCTCCACATCCTCCCCAGCACTTGTTATTTGAGGGTTTGTTCATGGCAGCCATTCTGGCAGGTGTGAAGTGATATCTATCTCATAGTTGTTTTAATTTGCATCTCTCTAATGATTAGAGAAGTTGAGCATTTTTTTCATGTCTCCTGGCCATTTGTATGTCCTGTTTAGAGATATTAGCGCATGGAGTCTTAGTTTGGACTAAGACTTAGCATCTCTTATATAAGATCTAATAAAAGTTATTATATCTGCCCTTGCCAGTTTGGCTCAGCAGTTAGAGCGTCGGCCGGTGGACCAATGAGTTGTGGGTTCGATTCCGCACAAGGGCACATTCCTCAGTTGCAGTTCTTCCTGGCCCTGGTCAGGGTTATGCGGGAGAAAACCGGTCAATGTGTCCCTCTCACATCGATGTTTCTCCCCCCACCCCCCTTCCTTCCACTCTATCTGAAGCTAAGTGGAAAATTATCTTTGGGTAAGGATTAAGAAAAAGAAAGTTATTATATGTTATAATTAGAATGCTGGAAAGAAATTAAAAATCTCAGATGATTAAACTAAAAGATATCCTTTATTTCTAGGACCTTCAAACTTGTGTATTTTATTGCAGTGAAAACTATAAAATGAAAAAAAGTATACAGCCATAAACCCAATAAATACAAAAGACATAAAACAGACAAGAGTGGAGTTGTCTGGGTGAATATTTCACCCAGGAGTGTAAGCTGTGCCCATTCAGCACATCTGTGCACTCAGATGCCTCTTACACATGCCAAGGCCCACCAGCGCAGTGAAGACACCGAACCACCCAAACCTCACAAAGATATGGCAACTAAGGTTTTTTAACAGCAAAAACAGGGGAAAGCAACTTAGATGTCTGCTGAAAGGGGAGTAGCAAACAGTGATGTGTCCATGTAATGGAGTACCTATACCGAACAAAGACACTCGGTGAGAATATCTATCTGAATCTTGCCTGGCTGGTGTGGCTCAGTGGTTTGAGCACCGTGCCAACTGAAAGGTCCCAGCTGGATTCCTGGTCAAGGCACATGCCTAGGTTGTGGGCTCAATCCCCAGTAGGGGGTGTGGAGGAGGCAGCTGATTGATGTTTCTCTCTCACATCAATGTTTCTATCTCTCTCTCCCTTACCAAAAAAAAAATTCAATAAAAATATACTTTAAATCGATTTATCTTGAGGAGCGGAAGAGATAAAGCAATGAATTTACATGCGTAACCAATGGACTCAGACAATGATGTGGGGAATGCAGGGCAACTGTGGCACAGAGTTGGTACAGAGTTTATAGTGGCTACAGGGGGTTCAGAAGATACTTTAACTGAGGAGGGAGTCGGGGTGGGGGACATCTGTAATACTTTCAACAATAAAGATAAAATAATAAATAAATAGAAATAAATCTGTTAACCGGAACAACAGAAACAAGATAACATGATTGAGATAAAACAAGCAAGTTAAAAATAGTGTACATACATTATGTACACTAATGAGAAAGGCAGATCTGTGGCAAAATGTCACAGCAGTTCTCTCCAAGTACTGAGTTAATGGGAAATGCTCTTCTGTTTACTTTTCTCTAGACTATTTACTTTTACTATGTTATTCACTTTCTTTCCTAAAATTTTCTGCAATCAATATATTTTAAATTTATAACCAGAAAAAGATTCCATGTTTTCATGTTGTGGGGGGAATCCCTAAAACCACAAAATGAACGATCCACAGACTCTAGAGCACGGCTAACGTCACCACCCCAAGTGAGTGACAAAAGTACCTTGTCAAATGCAGTTGCCTTCTGCTCTGGCGGGGCTGCCGGAGTCGTCTTTAGCTGGGCGGTGATGGCCTGAACCTGTGCCATCACAGCATTGTCGATGGCAGGAGACTGTGGTTTTGGAGGCTGTTGAAAAGTCTGAAGGATCTGCTGAAGCTAAAACACAAGGAGACGGTAAACCCCCTAACGAAGTACGTCACTGTATCAGAAGACATTTACTAAAGAAATCTAAAGGGGACTCCAAATCTAAAGAGGAGCGGAACGAGATAAAGCAATGAATTTATATGCACAACCAATGGACTCAGACAATGACGTGGGGAATGCAGGGCAGCAGAGGCACAGAGCAGACTAGAAACAAGGACCACCACCCTTCGCAACGGCTGTCTGTGAGTGAAGGCCAAGGGTACAATGTGTGCAGCTCTAAGTCAAGATGTACGCTGACAACCCCACAGTAGAGAACAGTCAAAAAGAAAACACACTGAATTGTGAGCAAGGTAAACATGTTTTTAGAAAAATGTAAAAATCTTTTCCAATTCGAATAATTCTGAAATCAGTCCCAAATGGTAGCACTCTGAGCGAGGACACCGCCCTCCGCAGCCCGGAGCTCTCCTGCCGGCGGGCCTCCTTTCTCACCCTCCACGCTGCCGCGGCTGCTCCGCCACCCTTCCCCGCCCAGGCTTTCCAGCTGAGGGCACAACTAGTTCCTCACTTGAACGGGCTCATCATTAGGAAGAGAAAATAAGATCTGACAACAGTAAAAACTGCCAACAATCTAACCTCTGGACGGGTGGTTTACCTGTTGACCTTGTGTTGTCTGGAACAGTTGGGCCACAGCAGCGAAGGCATCAGAGCTGGGCAACTGTGGCACAGTTGGTACAGAGTTTGTAGTGGCTACAGGGGGTTCAGAAGATACTTTAACTGGAGGTGGAGGTGAACCTGAAAAAGAAAATGTCATTAGAACCTAAGAAAACTTTAGCCTATAAATTTTCTTTTTTTACATTCCACTAAGCTTCTTTACCAAAGCAACATTCTGGCTCTGGCTGGTGTGCTCAATGGTTAGAACGTCTGCCCAAGCACCAAAGGGTCTCTGGTTCAATTCACAGTCAAGGGTACGTACCTGGATTGCAGGGGTGTATGCAGGAGGCAAACCAATCGATGTGCCTCTCTCACAGTGATGTTTCTCTCTCTCACCGCCCCCCCCCCAATCTGAAAATCAACGGAAACATATCCTCGGGTAAGGATCCACAACAGCAAACAATGCTCCATCTGGTCTACATGGGAACAACACAGCTGTAGACCAGAGTCCACACTGGAATAAGCGCTGGAAGAGCAGACTCTCATCACCAACCCTTACGGACGTGGAAATCCATACTTTCCACGGTGAGATCTCAGCTTTCCTTCTCATAAAAAATCCCACCAGCAGGAGCAGACCCGACCGTCTCCCGCACAGAAAGCCATCCTTCTAGCCCACAGACACCCTGGGCCTTACCTTCATTGTTGGCGACGCTTTCTGCTCCCAGGACTGCATTACTGCTACCTGCTGCCATGTCCAAAAGAGGCTGGATGACTTCAATTTTGAAAACTCCATTTTTTTGCCAAAGGTTCAGCACACGAACTATTTTACTCTGTTATGCGTGAGAAAACATGAATATACAATAAATATTTGCATACATAAATTGTTACACCTTACAAAAAAAGAGAGGAAGAAGACAACCCTAGGCCGATTTTTCCAAACTAAATCTGTTTTGCAAACAGGAAAATAAAATCTGTTATCAGAATCATAACCTAAACTACTCTACTCAGCCTTTTTTTTATTAGTGAATCTATAGTAAAAATCAGAGAAGGGAAAAAAGGGAACAGAAAAGTAATATAACCTAGAAAATCAAAAGAAATTGATAATAATAAAGAAATGTATTTGAAGTTTTTGTATTTTATTTATGGTTAAAAAGAAAATGCATCACTGCCCAGCTGGCATAGCTCAGTGGTTGAGCGTCAACCCTTACACCAAGAGGTCGCCACTTCGATTCCCAGGCAGGACACATGCCCAGGTTGTGGGCCCAATCCCCAGTGGGGGGGGCCTGCAGGAGGTGACCAATCTACGTTCTCTCTCATCGATGTTTCTGTCTCTCTCTCCCTCTCACTTCCTCTCTCTCTAAAATCAATAACAACAAACACCCCTGAAACACTGACCAAAAATAAAGTTATAGAATTGAAGAATAATTTCTTTAGAATGATTATAACAATTATAATAGTTAATAAACTGGCCAGTAGTATCTGATAGGTAAGCTGTTCTGTGGACCAGGAGAAACGGAGGACACCCAGAGATGTTGTTCAGGGCGCATCTCTCACCTCCTACCCAGGGAGCCCCGCTTTTCCTCTGTCCCTGTGAGCTTTCCCCACAGCACTCCTCCAACATACACACAGTCCACACTCAAATGTATGTGCGTTTATTGTAATCGACCCGCCCTCCACTCCTCTGAGTGGGCTCACCAGTGTACCTCTGCCCTCCTGGAGGGCAGCCATGGTGCGCCAACTACGGATCTGAGGAGTCCGCAGCCTGGCTGCTAATGACCACCGTTCATGCTAACGCCATCCACCACTGCCCCTTCCTTCCGGAATGAGCAGCATCTGAGATGAGCCCTGCCTTTCTCTCCTACAGAATGTCTTTATCACTCAACCACAAGTGAACCTTTCCATCAATGTGTTCTTTAAAACAAAATGGTGCTCCTTTCATATTCCAACAGTACGACATTTCTAATAAATATTAGTATATAATTATCTTTCTAACACTATGGTAGGCTTCAAATATCTTAAATACTTTTAAATAGATTCATATGATGATAAGTTTCATTTTTTAAATTAACTATATTAACTATACCTTATCTTCAGATGGACAAAGATATAAATATTGGAATGTGGCGGTTATGTTTTTAGAGAATCTTGGCCCAAAAACATCTTTATCAGTTCCAAACTGATGCCGAGACTGCCGCACAATCGAGTCAATCACATATAACCCTGGAACCTTGTATTCTGGTTTACACTACAAAGATAAAGATGTAAAGTCAATGCAAGAAAAGCAAAATCACAATTTGATACCCATTAATCTCACTGTAATGTGAGATTACACTGTATACTAATAATACTTTCTATTTAAAAACGACTTGAATGTTTAGCTGTGTCACTAGCTAGCTTGTCAAATTTCCCACAGGACTATAGAGAGCTACCATTCTCTTGCTACTTCAGACCCCCGGAATTTTACTTTTTTCAGACCCGTCTACCTCCCACAACATCTCAATCCCTAAACCACTTTCATACAAACCCAATTCATCCTGCTAAATATTAATTTTTACCTTTTACCTGTTACTTTTTACCTTTTCAAATTACGACAAAGGCAATTTTAACAACACACCATTTAAATAAAAACTCAAAGCAAAGGTTGTTTTTGGCCTATGAAATTGATAAGATAAAAAGATTAAAGAAACAGCCCGGCCAGTGTGGCTCGGTGGTTGAGTGTCGACCCATGCACCAAGAGGTCACCTGTTCAATCCCCAGTTAGGGCACATGCCCAGGTTGTGGACTCAATCCCCAGTGGGGGGGCATGCAGGAGGTGGCCAATTGTTGTTTTCTGTCATCAATGTTTCTCTCTCTCTCTCTCCCTCTCCCTTCCTCTCTAAAATCAATAAAGAAAAAAAAATTAAAAAGAGAAAAGAATAGCCCTGGCCGGTTTAGCTCAGCAGTAGAGCATCAGCCCGTGAACCAATGAGTCGTGTGTTTGATTCCAACCAAGGGCATGTAGTACCTCGGTAGCAGTTCATCCCTGGCCCCGATCAGGGTCATGCAGGAGGCAATCAGTCGATGTGTCCCTCTCACATCAATGTCCCCCCTCGCCCCCCACCCCGGATCTGAAGATAAATAGAAAAATATCCTCGGGTGAGGATTAAAAAAAATAAAAATAAAAAAAGAATAGAGAAACAGACACCTACATACATTCTAGTGATATAACTAAACTTTTATTGAAGAGGATTTGCAATGAAAGCAAAGCCTCATTCAATCCGACAGTTCTACATCTAGAAAGCTACCCTAAGAAACACAGTCACGATGCACTGGACTTTCGCACAGGCCAGCCGCCGCAGTGAAACGCCCAGCGCGGGGCCTGGCTGACTACACTGAACCAGTATGTGATACAACACTCCGCAGGTGTTCACGGTGGACACAGTGGGAAAAGCAGGTTATCGATCAGCATGTGTCCATTTTCCCTTTCATGAGTGTCTGTGTACATGACAAACCATGAGTAGATCCCAATGTAATTATCTGTCGTAAGGGGGGAGGGGTGCCATGCAGGTAATTTTAACTGTTTCCCATCTGACTTTTTTGTCCTTTGATGTGCTGCACGATCCCACAGCCAGTATTCAAGGCCGGGGAGCAGAGCCATCCACACACACCTACTGGTGTGCACTGCATGGCACAGCTCCCGGCGGGGGGAGGAGACAATGAGCCAAAATCTCCGTTCTCAGTCCTCTGCTGAGACACACATGTGCTAATCACACCGCTGTAAAACATGCTACCACTGTAACTGAAAACAGTTTAATTATGTTGGGAGCAGGGAAAAGCTGGGAAAACTTTATAAAGTGCTTTCCTTTGAAATGCTCCCAGATAAGTGAGATGCCACCAGAGTAGCAGGGCAGAGGGCGGAGGGCAGGAGGCACAGGAGGCTGGGGCGGACTTCTGCCTGGCCGATGCCCAGGGAACTGTGGCTGGCGCCTCCCTTGTGGCTTGTGCTCAGTCAATAGCACCGCTATAAAGTTGTTTCGTCTTCTTTAAAAACCCTCTAGATATTAAAAAGAACCTGTATTGACTACTTTTCTGTTTAGTGACTTTACAAGCAAGCATCCAAATAACTATTTACAAAGTAAATTACAAATACTGAACATAACGAAAATGAGGTAATAATTAAATGGATACTTACCTTTTTGATGAACTTTTCTACTATTTGAACTACATGCTTATAAAGCTGAAAAGAATGAAAAGAAAATTATTATCCAGTTTACACATTTCTACATTTCTTGCAATGTAATTTAAAAAATACTTAAAACTTTGAAATTTGCACCATTTAACTAATTCTCAAGATACAAACACCATGATTTCACTTATATGTGGATTCTAATAAACAAGATAAACTAACAAAATAAAGATAGCAAGGAATAAACCATCAGAAATAATCTAGTTAACAACTGAAAAAAAAAATCAGAAATTAATGAAAGCACAAAACTACAAAATCATCTCCCCAACAGAAGGCCTTTTTCTTAGATTTTAAATCAATAACCCTTCATAAAGCACAACATTAGGCAGCTTTATTAGAGGGATAGAAACAATGGAACTGGAACTAAAATGAGTCACTTATTTAGGTGTGATCTTGGGTAAGAAATTTAATTTCTTGGAGCCCGAGTTTTTTTGTCTAGCTTTATTTTAAATCCTCACCCGAGGACATTTTTGCATTTATCTTCTGACAGACCGGGAGGGGGAGAGGGAGAGGGAGAGGTAAAGGGAGGGAGGGAGAGAGGGAGAGGGAGAGAGAAACATTGATGTGAGAGAGACACACTGAGTGGTCGTCACCCACATGACCCAAACCAGGGTGGGGACAAACTACAACTGAGGTACATGCCCTTAGCGGGAACCGAACCCAGGACTCTCTGGTCCAAGGGCCAATGCTCTAACCGCTGAGCCAAACCAGCCAGGGCTAGTTGGTTTTTTTTTTTTTTTTTTTTAAAAATGAAGCTAATACTCAGCTGATTTATGACAAGAATAAAATGAAATAGATAAAAATAAAACCCTGACACTCCACTCTCTACTTCTGAAGAGTTGACATTTTTTAGCACCACACACACAAAAGGTAAACATCTGAGGTGCTGGATGTGTTCATTAGCTCGAGTGTGGACATCATCAAACAATGTGCATGTATCACATCATCATGTTTTACTACCTATAATTAAATATATACAGTTTCTACTTGTGAATTGTCCCTGAACAGAGCTAGGAAAGAATGCAGGGGGTACGAGTGACAAGGAGGCCCGTCCTGGAGCAGTGTCGTGATGGAGGCACATGCCTGCACCTTCAGGGGGAGTTGGTGAACGGTCTTTGGCTCAGGCCCGAACAAATTCACAAGATGAATTCTCATGTTTAATAGCAGTTTCCAAATTTCATGAACATTTTTCAAGTTAAATATATTTTACTCTCACCTTAATGGCTTTAATAGCAGCTTTTGTGATGAGAATCATCTTGGCTCGAGAGATGGGAGGTTTCATATCCATAAGTGAAAAGAGCTTAAAAGAAAAACAAAACAAGGAAAAAAATTTTTTACTTGAAGGTAAAATCAGAGGTCAATTCACCAGTTCTACAAAGATATTTGCAATTTATTAACTAAAAGAGTAACAAATTTTGGGAATTAAGTTAAAAAATCTGGCTAGTAAAGAAAAATCCTACATACCTGCACTGCCACTTAGAAAATACAATGGGAAAACATCATATTAAAAACAGGAAAAAAACCCCAGCTGGTGTGGCTCACTGGTTGAGCATCGTCGACCAATGTACCCAGAGGTCGCCGGTTTGATTCCCAGTCAGTACACATGCCCAGGTTGTGGGCCCAATCCCCAGTGGGGGCATACAGGAGGCGGCCAATCGATGTTTTCTCTCATCGATGTTTCTCTCTCTCTCTAACCCCCCCTCTCTAAAATCAATAAAGAAAAAAAAAATGTTTTAAGTAACTTCTTAAAAAACACCCCCTAAAAGCAAAAAAGGTAAAAAAAAAGTAAAAACATTTAAGAAATTTACAGAACCTATAAAAAAATGCAAAAAAAAGGTAAGAAAAAGTAAAAACATTTAAGAAATTCACAGAACCTATAATAGAAAAAAATTAGAAAACTTGACTGAAGAACTCAAAAGTGGTTTAAATAAAAACACAGTTTTCCTGAATTGAAAGTGGCACTACTGTGATTCAGTATTGAATATAATTTCAATTCAAATCTGAGATTTGACAATTCATATAATTCTAAGATTCATTTGGAGAAAAGCATATATTAAAATCAAACAAGAAATTTTAAATGCCATATAAAGTTGGAATCCACAATTTCTTGATTTATCAGCAATAACAACCACATTTAACAAATTACACAATAGTAAATCCACAATCCACACCTCACTGAGATTTTGTGCAAGTTTAAATCCAACTGAGACATATAATGAGAGCCCACAGATGATAAAGATAAAGCCCAGATATTAAGACGCTTACATCTAGCTTCTTAAATTGTTCTTTCTGTTTTGTTTAACAATCACAGGCACATACTGAGTATGTGAAATTTCTAAAAGGATATTTTGAAATAAGCACTATCAACCTTATGTGAATCAGACTGGTATTTCTTTCCAATTAATGTTAACATTTCAAATATGGAATCCCCAAGATAAAGACCTTCGCTGTACCACTACCAAAGAAGCTAGCCTAAAGAACAAAAGTCTCGCCCAGCAGTGTGGCTCAGTGGTTGAGCATCGACCCATGCACCAAGAGGTCGCCGGTTCGATTCCCGGTCAGGGCACATGCCCAGGCTGTGGCTATGGGCCAAATCCCCAGTGGGGGGCATGCAGAAGGTGGCCATCCTCTCACTACGATGTCTCTCTCTCTCTCTCTCTGTAAAATCAATCAAGAAAGAAAATTTTTTTAAAATAAAAAATAAAGAACAAAAGTCTCATTTCCCAGAGCTTAGCCCTGCTGGGGCAACACAGCCTGCAACATTAACTTTCTCCATAAATACTATTAAGATAAAGAAAACAGCCCTGGCCAGTTTGGCTCAGATCAGCAAAGAGTCCCGGGTTCGGTTCTGGCCAAGGACACGTACTTCAGTTGTGGTTCATCCCCGGTGGGGGGTCATAGTGGTAGCAACCAGTCAATGTCTCTTTCTCACATCGATGTTCCTTTCTCTCCCTCTCCCTCTCCCTCCGTCTGAAGATAAATGTAAAAATATCCTCGGGTGAGGATGAAAAAAAAAGATACAGAAAACAGAAGAAACAAAGGTACTAACACATTAATTCATTTTAAAAAATAAATATCGAAATAAATTAAGGTCATGATTCTGTATTATTTTATTTACCAACACAATAAAAATTCTCCTTGAAAATACTAACTGAAAAACAATCAGAAAAGAGATAGCAATTGTTGAGATTATATAAATGAATAAAAAACAAGAAAAACATTTCAACTTAAATACAAATTCAAGATATTAAAAGAAAAAATTTTTTAAATATCAACACTGCATGAAATATACAACATACATTTATAAAAGGTATAGTTTGACCATTTATAAATTATAAAATTTATTAGGACAGTTGTTTATTACTGCTCTTTTTCTCTATCTTTTTTTAAAACATGTTTTTATTGATCTAGAGAGAAAGGAAAAGAAACTAAACATTCATCAGCTGCCTCCTGCATGCCCCCTACTGGGGATCGAGCCTGCAGCCTGGGCTTGTGCCTTGACTGGGATCGGGGGGAAAAAAAGACCTCTGCGCCCAGAGCATGCCTCTCCATCCACTGAGCCACACTGGCCAGGCTCTTTCTTTGTGTCTTAAAGCAGAGAAAGGGGAAGCAAAACCATTCATATATGGATCTTAAGAATAAGCAACAGTGAGACTAGTTCTCTGGCCATTAAGAGTGTAGAGAATCACTTTAATAAAGCCTAAGCCAGAGCTAACACTCATTTAATGTTCCAAACAGGACTTTTTGATTATTTAGCAGTAACTTGCCATATTAAAAAAAGAACAAAAAACAGCCAAATGAGCTTATAAAACAGACCAGATAATGAATCTTCTCATGAACTACTCCACATATAGTCTACATATTTAAATTATCAAATAGTAAACCCTCAATTTTGCAGACCTCGACCGAACAAATTTCAGATTTCTGGTCCATATATCATATGTGAAAATTAACACCCTGTAAAATTTAAAATGCCTTTTTTTTTTTTTTTTTAATCCTCACCCGAGGACATTTTTCCTTTTTTTGTTCAGGTAGAGTGGGAGGGAGAGAGAGGAACAGAGAGGAACAGAGAGAGAAACATTGACGTCAAAGGGACACATCAAGTGGCTGCCACCCGCACAACCAACCAGGGCCGGGGACAAACTGCAACCAAGGTACATGCCCTTAGTGGGACCACAGGCCGAAGCTCTAACCGCTGAGCCAAACCGGCCAGGGCTTAAAATGCTTTTAACCAAAATTTGTTCATAATTAAATTAACAGGTTATTTTTTTTTGTTATTAATTCACTGTTATTTTTAACAAATTTTAGCGAATGGGCCGTATGTTGGAAAACACACCGTAGTAATCTCACCAAAAATGTTACATATCTACAACTATAGGCTACATATTTAAATCCAAGAGTTATGGCTCGTAAACAATGTTCAGTGAATGATGAGCACCAGATCACACTATATTAAAAGCAGTAATAGGTTGTTACCTTGGGGTGTGACTTCCTACAGCAGTTTTAACCTGCATGAGCCACACCCCAGCCCTGTGCATTTGTTTGCTTGCAGTGACTGGTGAATGCATGTGTTTACTAGACCTATTCAGTATCAATTAAAAATAACAGTAATACATATAGAGAAGTTTTCTGTGAAATTACACTTTTCATACATAGTTTTAATTATACAAACATGTCTACATAAAGAAAAACAGGTAAACTCAATTTTTTAACAGCCGCATTCAGAAAATCTACTTTGTTATAAACAGCCTTCTGCTTTAATGACACCCTCTTGTCTGAATTAGTCCATCATATTGTGGTTTCACTGTACAGACTATACCAACATAGCAGTATAACTATTATTCAAGCAAAAGACAAGCAAGAAAACCTTCAGAGACTTCTGGTCAAGATGGTGGCGTAGCCCTGGCCGGTTTGGCTCAGCGGTTAGAGCGTCGGCCTGCAGTCGAGAGAGACTCGGGTTCAGTTCCCGCTAAGAGCACGTACTTCGGTTGCAGTTTGTCCCCGGCCCTGGTCGGTCGTGCGGGTGGCAGCCACTCGATGTGTCCCTTCACGTCGATGTTTCTCTCTCTCTCTCTCTCTCTTCCTCTCTCTCCCTCCCACTCTATCTGTACAAAAAATGGAAAAATATCCTCGGGTGAGGATAAAAAAAAAAAAAAAAAAAAAAAAGATAGTGGCGTAGGTAAACGCGGTTATCACGTCCTCCCACAACCACATAAAGTTACAACTAAACTACAGAACAACTGCCCTGGCCGGTTTGGCTCAGTGGTTAGAGCGTCGGCCTGTGGTCCAGAGAGGCCCAGATTTGGTGCTGGCTAAGGGCATGTACCTTGGTTGCAGTTTGTCCCCGGCCCTGGTTGGGTTGTGCGGGTGGCAGCCACTCGATGTGTCACTTTCAGGTCGACGTTTCTCTCTCTCTCTCTTCCTTTCCCTCCCTCCCACTCTACCTGAACAGAAGATGGTAAAATATCCTCAGATGAGGATAAAAATAAATAAAATAAAATAAACTACAGAACAACCGTCATTCAGAACATCAAGCAGGAGGAAGTCCTACAACTACGGAATTAAAGCAGCAGCCACATGGACACTGGTAGGAGGGTGGAGGGGACGAGCTGGTCCCACACCCACGTGTGCCTGATAAAAATCAGGAGGACACCTCAGCTGGGAAGGTCCTCCCTGAGGACTGAGGGGTCCCTGTCCCACACCAGGTGCCCCGCTCAGGGTTCCAGTGCCAAGAAGAGAATTCCCCTAACTTCTGGCTGGAAAAACCAGCGGGAGCTGAGGCGGCTGGAGCCCCAGGCAGCTTCTCTTAAAGGGCCCGCGCACGGACTTATCGGACTCACTCCCTCTAAGCTTGGAGGGGAGGCAGCCCGAGGGGCGCCAGAGACATACAGGGAAGAACTGAGCTGTTTGGCACTGGAGCGAGGGCTGGAAAGGGGGCTTTCTCAGGGACAAACGTGCTGTCAGAAGCCTTTGTTCCTTTGGTGAGCCCTTCCCTGGGGAGGCAGATGCCCCCATATCTGGAACTCCAGCAACGTGGCTCACACTGGTTGCCCCGCCCTGGTCAATCCCTGAGGCCCCGCCCCACCCAACTTTCAGGCCCACCCAAGCTGTTGCCAGTTGCTTAACCATACATAGGATTGGCCTGCTTGGATCCTGCTTCAGGTTTTCGTAAATCCTTTCAAACAAGCAGCATCTGGTCTCAGGGAGCCCCATACCTCTCCTTAAGTAATACACAGAAACAAACAGGGAGGCAACCAAAATGAGGAGACAAAAGAAACAGGTCCCAATTGAACAAACAGA